GGAAGGTGTTTTTTTCCCTATTTTTTTTTTTAATTAAGCTTTACTAATCCTGCAAAGCGAAACATTAGCGCTTTTTTTTTGTACATTTCTGGAGACTGGGTGCACTGGGGAGGGTGGCGGGTGGGGGGAGGACAGTTCTGGGGCACCACCTGTCATTTCTGGTGACTCTGCATAGCAAATGCACATTGACGCATTGAATGCGAGGTATAAGGAGGATTCCGTGACTTCTGCCAGATGCGCCAGTTCGAAAGTCGCACACAAGCAGTTTACCTGGTGGTTTTTTATTTTTTTAAATAGACTGAACAGAAACCTATTAGTCAGTGTGGATATATATGCATAATTATATATAAGTATTGAACGAACATTTATTTATTGTAAAGCCTTTCAGAAGGACCTTGTGGTTTCAATGTGGTATTATGTCCAATCTCTCTCTCTCGGATGCAAACTCACTGCAGTAATATTTTCATATCACTTTTTTCCCCCCAAAAGAGGCTTAAACCCAGATCCAAACATACCCCAAACTTGAGACATTTTAGATCTGAGCTGCTGGGTCCAGACCCCCTCTAGTCTCTTAAAGTGGGACAGTTACATGCTGGATTTCATTTATTTTTTTGTAACTATGGGGCCTGAGTTTCCCCCCCACTCCTTTTAACCTGTGTATCCATCTGCGTTGACCTGTCTGGGGTAACGCCATGCTTTCGTCAATGCCAGAGGACAAGGAGGCCATATATATGTATGAAGAGGGTGTGGAATTGACACTGAGTTTGGGGGTTGTGGATGGGACGCATCAAATAAGTTAGCTTGCACATGGCATATATTTCCAAGCAATGTGTTTGACAATGGAGAGAGAGAGGTTGGGGCAATAAGGCAAACTAAACGATCACAGTGAGGTAAAAGGCAAAGAGTGAATGAACTACTGAGTGAAAGAGCTCTTCTGTGTATTATAATTCACGCACTGAAGCCTGGATGCTTTCTGTAAGTATTTAAAAACAAATTGTATTTATGTTAATTTGGATATATTACTTTCCTGTTATATATTGTAAATAGTAAGGTTTATTCTCCTGTGGTTAAGCAAAACTATAAATTACTAAAATAGTAGCGAGGCACATGCATTAAATGTATAGGCAGTGTATAAAATATACTAACACCCTGAAATCAGGAGAACTTGCCTTTTTGACCTAAGGAGGTATAATGTACACACTTGTTTTTGTTTTTTGTTAAATTCTAGGGTTTTCCAATGTTTGCCTTATTTTTGGAAAATAAATGGATGGGGGGGGGGGGGAATTAGGTCTTTCCCTTATGGGAAGGTCCTATAGAACTTAATTAGGATGGATCCAGTAGTGTCTTTACAGAAATTCCTCTGACCCCTAAGGAGAATTTAATAGTTCCTAACCCTTCTCTGTCGGTTTTTAAAATGATCTTATGGAACTTACCAGAGAATTCTATCCCTGCTGCTCTATAGGGTAGCTCAAAAAAAACAACCCTATATAGGACATAAAGATAGGGTTTTTAGAGTAACCTCTAGAGAATCTATTGTCTTCATCCATATTAAGTTCTACTCTTCCATAAGGGCTGGTTTTGCTGTCACTTATGCCAATGTAACTCCATTGCAATGACTCAGTCTATAAAGCTGGTATGAGAGCAGAATTGGACCCGGTCTCTGCCATGGTGCCATTTTACAAGGAAAGCAAAGCTTAACTTTTTTTTTTTTTTTCATTTTCTAAAATGGACTCTTGCAGCAGATATAACTGGAGAGGGATAGCAGGGTGTGTGTATGGGGAGCTTTCTGCTTTCCCCTCCCCTTCTCCCTTCCAGCATTTAAGGGCTGGTTCTCCTTATCTAATCCAGCAAGACTTGGAAGGTAATGGAAGGGTGCAACCATTATTTATATAGAGAAGTTAGCTGATGGAAAAATATTTTTTTGAGCAGTGCATTTAGCTATGTCGGAAATATAAACCTATTTTTGTAAACCAGGCAAACTGAAAACGTTTGCTGTTTTATCTTAGAATTTTCTACTAAAAATAATAAAAAATCCCACACAAATAATTGTTGCACCCATCATCTCTTTAACAAGCTTCTGAATTCTGCGACTGACTTCCATATATTGGATGTGAAGTACAAAACAAATCCTAAATGTTACAGTACTGTTCTCTTCCGACTTCAGAGGCCTTACCTTGGCAAACTGAGTAGTATTTACCTTACGGTGATGACCGTGTTTGTTCATCTGTTCCTTCCCTCAAACGGAAACGAGAATTTCTGATCAGAGGTGGAGGGAAGCAGAAGTTTACTGTAAAGATCCCCACACCTAAAATTTGTCAACTGAACTTCTAAGATCTGTGCTGTAGTGGGTGGAATATAATGAATCCAGGGCCAATACCACTGTGTCCCTGAAATGAATGAGGCTTTTGCCAGCCATTTTCAGTTGGAGCAGCAGAGGTGGCTATTATGAAAGCAATGGGGGAGATGAAAAGACATGGAAGGGTTTAAACATCGAGGACCCAATTCTGGTCTCCAACATACACAGCTCTCACTAACTTCAGTTCAGTAGTTGCTGAATGCATGAGAGGCTGGAATTGTCCGTGGCAGCTAAGGACACTTGGCAGTCCTCCTTGGAGGCAAAGGATAGAGTCAGGGACCTGTTGTCAAAAGCCATGACTTACTGTGGTTGGCTCCTTTGGAAAGGAATGTGAAGGGGATGAGGGAGACTTAACACCTAGTATGTCCTCAGCTGGCCATCTACACTCCTTCCTGTAAGGAAATATCAGGAGGGTGGTGGCCTGCAAACTTACTTTTTCTTTTGCTCCACTTTTGCCATGGGCATTAGCCATTTCTCCACCTTTTTGCCAAGTATCAGAGTACAAGCTTGATGAGGGAAAAGATGTCTAAAGGGCCATTGCTTGGAAGGGAGCATTTAGAGGGTATTGGTCACTTGCAAACTCTTTCTAATGCTTGTGAAATGTTCCCAGGAGAATCAAGGCCTTTCTGTAGCCCATAGAACAGCTGCAGCCCGGGCAATGCCATTGGTAGCTTCTTTCCCTGCCTGGTCATCTCCAGCAGCTACCTAGCTAATGCAGAAAGTCTCTTGTCTCCCTCACCCATTCAGTCCTTGGCTTATGCATGGTGGGTGGCTTTGTAAAATGGGCTTCACCTGTGAGGTGCTGAGTGCCTTTCTCTCCTCCTGATGCCAGCAGGAGGTGGAGGATGCTCCGCACCTTGCAGGATCGATCCTGCAGACGTCTGTCCATAAGGCCCTGGGCTGAGACAGTAATTTACTTCCATGCAGGTTACCAGATTGCTGAATTGGTGACTGGATTTAGAGTGCAATGTGGGGCTAGACTTGGACCAGGTCCATAATCTGGAACACTTGAACCTCCAGTCACTTCTCAGCCTAACACTAAAGGTTAAAGCTGAAAGGGTATCTTTGATGGGAAGTTGTATAGCTCCAAAGCTTGTAGGCAAGAGTAGAATAGAAATGCAGACAGCACCTTAACTTGGGTGCCATTTTATGCTAGCTCTTACAAATCTAGAGGAAGAATGATCCCTTTAAAGTAAATGGAAAACCTAAGTGAATGCAATACATGGCAACACAGTTCAATTGAATCCCCCCACCCTTTGTGTTCAAAGGCACACGGCTCAATGTTTCCCGAGAGCCAAGCTTTGAGAAGTCACTTTCTTACCACGGCCCGCTCTCCCGTTGTGCATCCTGTATTCGTAGGGTTATGCTGGGCTGGCCTCCATTCAATGAGTGTAGAAGCACTTAGTCTCAAGAAGTTAGAGAAATGCACTTAAATAACACAATTTGCAAAGAGGTATGAACAGGAAGCTGGGTTGCCTGTTGGGGTTATCCCAGCCTTGCCAGCTCTCCTCGCTTTTTTTAAATGAACCCAACCCAAACTAGCCTTTTCCTACTCTGCACATGACCCTCCCTCTCCCCCGACCTCCCCCTTCCCATTTTGCTACAGTTCCCTGTGAGGTCTGAATGTGGAGTCTAGGATTTGTTTTGTGCACTTGAGAATGGCATTTCCTTTTGCAAGGGAGATGGGGGACTGAACACTAACATATGAAGGATTAGTATTTTCTTTGGGTTTTTTTAATGTCTTATGGGAGCCTAAGTTATTTTTCTCTACCTCATATGTACAGCTTGTAGGTATAAATCTGATTCTGAGTGACTGTTGAGAATGTATTTAAGTTATTTAACATCTTTGTATAACAAAAGCCAGAACAAATGAAACAATAAATGTATTTTAAATTATACATGACGTCTGTTCCCCTTTCTTTGCCTGGGCTGGCTGGCTGTCTGAGACCATCTCCGCTAGGGCAGTGGTGTCAGATCCTTTCAAAAGAGGTCAAGTGGCCACAACCCATCCTTGGGGGGCAGATTCTGTCCTGTTTCCCACTCGTTTCAGGCTGCCCTGGCCATGCAATGGGTGGCCATCAGGGGGAGCTGTTGAAAAGCCACATCAAGGAAGGGGCAGTAGTTACGTGGTGCTCCCAGTTCATGTCAGAGCTGCTCTTGGGGCTGGAGGGGTGGGATGGAGTTTAGGAGGCCCTACTCCCTCTCTGGAATGATGGGGCTGAGCCAAACATTTCAGTTTTAAAAATCAGAGCGTGGCTCAGGAGGTACCTTTCTTTAAATACAGTAGTCCTCAAGGGCAACAATTTATAACCTCAAGGACCACAGGCTGGATGCCCCTCCTCTAGGACATCAAAAGACATAAGGGTCCATTAAGACTTAATTCTGTACTCCCACCCATTTGAGCTAACCCCTGAGAGTTAAGGTTGTGCAGGATTGGACCCTTAGGTGATATTAGCTTTGCACAGCTGCTTGGACTTCTGTTTATCTCCTGTGCGTTGGCATCT